GAATGAAATCATCAAACACCAAGATGAGCCAAAGCAAAAGCAATAGATCCTCGTGGGTGGTTTTGACCAACTGGCTAATAAAAGACACATTAAGTTTATACTGCAAGTTTATTATAGTAATACAATCAGAATAAATTATTTTCACAGCTAATATACCTACTTATATCAGGGTATGTATAGATATTTTATTCCCAGCACATTACAATCTTTTTATCTTTAATCATGCAGCGAGTAATGTACAAACAAAATTATATGGAAGATTTTTTTTCCCTAAAAAAGAGAAACCAAAATTACAAAAGTATGGCTTTATAAGAAACTTGTATAATACAATGAACATTCATTTGTACTTGGGCATGGCAATGTTCGGTCTTAATCAGTGAACAACAGCATCTGTCACTGTCATGCTGATTCCAAAAAAGCCAAGGAAACTGGAAACACGGAAGTGCCTACCAGTGTTAGAGAGATGGAAAATATATATCTATATACATTCAAAGTACGAAAAATGTAAAGAGTGTTTTCTTTTAACATTAAGTGGGATTAAGCGTCACATTTATTTATATGCTGAAGTCAGAGTTATGGAGCCTTGAAGAATGTAAGTGCACAAAGAGTTTCTGTTTTCCTTTAGACCAACAAACATTGGGAGTGATGCAATTGACTTAAAAAGTGTTACTTCAGGTGTAAAGAGGTGTAACTGAGGTCAGAATCTGGCCTGTCCTTCCTGCTAATGGTGCTGCAGAAATAGACAGAAGCATAGGGTTAGGAAGTCATAGGTGGCTGAATTTTGTGGCAGCCCAGATAAAAGAAAGACAAAGATGTATGTTCAATAGATTTTATTTAAAAAAAAAATGGATTCAAGAATAAAATGTGGCCACTATCACAAATCCTTCGCTGGATGATTGTGGCTGTTGGCAAGCAGAAGCCCTTGTGCTTGGTGTTCAGGGGTAAAACACCCATTTCAAGAGCAAAGCTGCTGCCTCTTTACAAGAGAAGAAGAAATGTCCTTACCTGTTAGCAGCACAGAGCTTGGGACACACACTTATCTTGTGAAAAGGCTGCTTTCTTAAGGCATTGATCACTGATGTGTACAAGTACTGGAGTGGGTTAAGTATTGTAAGTCAGTTATGAGTTTTACCAGGAGAGGGCAGACAGAGGAACAGGCATACATGTGCACGCATGCACCCACACACGTTCACACACACACGTTCACACACACACACACACACGTTTGCCCCCCCCCCCCCCCCCCCACCCCC